ACTGATATTTTTGTTAAAATTACTTCAACAGGGTTGATTTTTCGTCAGATATGTTTCAATTGCCATCGCTCATAACTTTCGTCAAAACTTCGACCGCGCTGATTTTTTGGTCAAAATTACTGTGACCGCGCCGTGTGTGAGTGCGTGGGGCAAAATTAATGTCTTGCTGGTAAAAGCGCACACTGAGGAACTGTTTACACCCCTGCGACATGGTACGAAATTAGGAATTCTGATACATGTTTCTAACCAAAATTTAACGTAAAATACGATTCGTGCAACCAAAATTATTAAAATCGACCCCCGACTAAGATATTTAATGTTTCTTGACGCATGAATTCAAACCTCCCGCTCATGAAAACTCAATGGCCTACGTGAGTCAGATCAGAAACTAAACGTTACCGTGGCAGTCGTTACGATACGAAACTATGGCAATCTCTATCTTGACGCTTCGGCTCAGCTATAGGAAATTGTTAAAACTTTGAACAATAAAGGGTGGGAAATGAACAATGTTTGATTGAGAGGCCTGCCAAAACCATTGCAGTGCGCGTTTGACTCACGTAGAGTATTGTGTTTCTTGTGACCGGGCAATTCAGATTTCCCGTAACCCATGTAAAATTAAAACGTTGATATCTTAGTGAGGAGTTAATTTCAGTAATTTTTGATGCAAGAATCGTGTTCGACGTGAAAATCTGATAAAGAAACATGTATCAGAATGCTTGAATTCGTACCTTGTTTAGAGGTCCGTTCGGATTCCAGAGGAAAAATCAAGGGTCTTCAAGGATCTCAGATTCATGGGCGGAGCGGGGGGAGGGGGAGGCGGCTGGCAACACCAGGGATCCATTTGGCCCCCTCCACAAAAAAGTGAGGAAGTTCGCTAAATGACTGAGAGACAAATCTTTCAGTCTGTGCCCTGTGCGTCAATCAATTTTACAACACGATTAGCTCAAAATTGCTACTAAGAGGACCGATTTTTTTAGAAATTTCCCCAGGAGGCGCACTGAGCTCCTATTTGGAGCTACAGGCTTTTGTCTGAAAGGTCAAACTTGTAGCTTCAGAGCTCCAAACCTTCCTTCAGGACTAAGGGAGTTTCCGAGATCTCCATAAGGGGATCTCTATGTGCCTCCCAGAAGTTCTCAATGAAGAGAGGAGCCCTTCTGCTTCCTTCAAATTCCCGGTTCCGCGCAAGCAAAGACTTTCGGAAACAATTTCTAGTAGATGCTCCCTGAGGTACACAAAAAGGATTGAAAACGGCAATTTCCTTTTTCCTCACCTTACTTTACTTCCTACTACCTATTCATAAAAATGACAATTGTATGACGTCTGGCCGCGGCTATTTGACATGTCGCATGTCGGTCGCCTCCGTAATAAGACAGGAAAATACAGATCTTCCAAAAACCAAACCGTTGGTTTATAAGACGAACAAAACGAAATAACTAAATGATGTTAAATTTAAGGACTTCCGAGTTTCGGGCAAACTCTTAAAATTCAAGGTCTTGAAAATTAAGGGAAAATTCAAGTAAGTGTATTCAAAAAACTTCCGAGGCGCTACAGACCCTGGACTTTCGACTCCTTCACCAATAAATCCGCGTGTATTAGACTGTATCGGATGAATTAGGGTCGGTCATTGGGATGGAACATGGTGAGCAATCTTCTGACCTCACCCGAGACAGGATTACATGCTCCATGAGTCACTACTAGGGACAGTTCATTCTGGAGACGGCTTTCTTCGTCAGAGTGTAAAGGTTATTTTCGCAAAGGAACACTCATTTGTCCAATGGTAACTTGGAAATCAAAGTGTTGCGCAATCTACTCAACTGACAGGGCCTACGTTTTGAGGAAGTAAAGTGCTTTGCAAACTGCTACATTCGAAATTAACTTTTACCTCATTCCGTAAACTTGATCACATTTTGTTGAATCGGACGTGAGGAGAATGTCTCACTTAGAGTCATGACAGCATTACCATACTAAGTAAACGAGGAATTTTCAGTAACTTCGAACGGTTTGTCTAGGGACTTAAAAACAGAAAATACATCTGCATTATTAGAATGTGTTTTCTTCTGCCGTGCTAAGTAAAAACGCCGTGTGAACATTCGAGAGTTGCCAAATTTCTTTCGATAAAGTGTTTATTTTGGAGTAAATTTATGAATATTTTGCCTTGAAATTTCCAGGAAATTTAGGTAAAATTGCGAACAAAAAAATTATCTGAAAAATTGGAAGAAAAATATTTATAAATGTTCCCAAAAATTTGTGATTTACCAAAGGAAATTTGGCAACGCCTGAAGGTTCTTACGAGGTTTTTCCTTAACACGGCAGTCTTTTATTGAGCCTGTTCTTTGCCACCGCGCGTAAAGGGCCAAAAACATTAGGTACGAGAGAACGAGGTTGATTTGATTTTTTTTCTTTTTAATTGACATTCAAAAGGGGCAGCTTTACAGCGAGCTGCGGAGTTGCTTTGAGTCGAAGGCAATGATACGATCGCCGTTCTCGCGAAATTTTACAAGGGAATGGTGGATTGAATTACGAATATCCTGCTGTTACAGAGGCACCATTTAAAGCACGAGAGTTTGCCGGTTCAAAATGGTAGGCTCAAAATTGCTTCCGGCGATTGCTTGTTGGACTACTTATTAGCGGTTATGAAGAAGAAAGCCGTACGAACATCTATAAGATGCCTATTTTCCGATAAAACACGAATTTCCCAAACACAAAAACGTGAACTTTTTTTGAAAATACATTCAAAGAAAAAATTTCATTCCAGTTTATTCATGATACACATGAAAATTTTTGGGAGAAATATTCAAAATTTTCCTGGGAAATAAATATTTTATCGGGAGACAATTTGGCAACATTCGAATGCTCATACGGCGTTTTTCCGTCGCACTGGATGTTTGCGACCGGCACACAGCGGATTGAGTCAATCAGAGAGTCGGACATGAAATTTCATGACTAAATCTGCAAATTTTGTTGTTTAATTCGTCACATTTAAAATTTGAGGGATGCTCCTAAAAGAAAATTTCACAAGGAAACCAATGGAACCATTTTTAAAATCTCCAAGTTTTTATTTACTTAACGGAGTTAAGTATAAGCTTTTGAAGTTTCCAAATTTTGTCTGACCTCTCCCATTGACTTGATCCACTGTGCAGCAGCAGCGGATGGGAGGATCAGCAGCCTGATTGTTGAAATTGTTCGTTTGTCGGGACGACATAGATGACATAGGTTAAAAGGCGAAGCGTGATTGGTCGGCTATGTCTTATCGCTGCTTTGTCGTGCCTATGTTGGGTTGACCTCTCGACAAGCTAACAGGACCTCTTAAGTTTCCGACAGTATGTCGATCATTCCACCTGACAAAGGCACGACAAAGCAGCGATAAGACATAGCCGACCAATCACGCTTCGCCTTTTAACCAATGTTGTCCCGACAAACAAAAAATTTCAACAATCAGGCTGCAGGATTCAATTGAAAAAATCTAGACTTTTCTGAGGCATCTTTCGGTCGGCTCAGGTTATCGGACAGAAATGAGTTAACGGGTTGCATATTTCTCTATGGGTTGGTTCGGATTTTCACAATTTTCCGATTGATGAGGGAAAAAATTACACTGCAGATTCATTAATGCATGTTCCATTTGAATATTGAGAAAAAAAAAAATCCTTTCCACAAATTCTGGACATGTCATCAACGACCATACAATGTCATCCCATGTTTAATGATTAACACATATCTGGTTGATGTAAACATGGCAACAGCAACACTGCGCATGAGCCAGATCAGTGATTTATTCAGGGGTGAAAATAGTGCCATTCGGCCGAGCGTTTCGTGCGATCCGTTAATATTCCCTCACTCACTTCCAAAAAATATCTTCACTTTCCCAAATGTAGGGACCATAGCGATGCCTTTTTTTTCCTTCTTTCCTTTTTGTGGAAACTACATGGGCATAGAGAGGTGCGACAGCTCTGACAGGTTCACTGACCAGAGTCAAGTATTGTACAGGTCACAATTCGTTGATGGTGATATCAGATTGGATGACTCAACCAGTCGAGTGGTGCAGATACAGAGCCAAACAGAGATTGACATTCGTCTCAACATACGATAAACAAGCTCCACCTAAGATGTTTGTCCAGAAGATTGCAAGGTACACTCTACTACAGGTATGGACAAATGGAATTTTAGAAAGTCGTCAAAACGCATAGATTTGACAGCATCGAGAGTACGACTGCGAAAACCTGCACGGCAAATGGACGGTACGACTTCATACGTCACTCGATCGCCCATTTTCTCAGCGCTGCCACTTCGGCACCCCATTTGTCCATACCTGTAGTAGAGTGTACCTTGAGAAGATTGGGTAGATAGAGTCTACACCAAATGAGTTAGCACACTTTAAGTAACATTGAAGATCCACAATCTTGATTCTTGCACATACTTTCAATGCTAAACTGAAGGCAGGTGCTCTTCTATCGCAGTCGAAGAATGTGTTCACTTGTTAGGTAAGGACTCTGAAGATGTTGGAGGGTACTCCATGAAGAAAGAAGTACTTAAAATGACCAATAAAAGTACCCATGAAAATGCGCAAGTGTTCGTTTGGAAGTATCATTCATACAAAAAATTAAACACTGATGACTCAACGCGACATTTCTCATTCATGATGGCAGTCACGAGTCGTGGACTAAGTTGATAACTTAAGTATAATATATTTCAGGGGAAAAGTACTGGGGAACTTGAAGAAATAATGATGCTCCCGATTGATTCGGCCAGAAGATACGTATTTCGATAGTCGGGAAGTAATTACTATGCAAACTCATACCTGCAAAAATAATTCGTATGGCTGAAAAACGTACACAAACAGAGGGGGCTGAGTGACTGAGTTCATTCAACCGTGAACGTAAGGTTAGGGCACTAGGTTCATTGAGAACACAAGTTTCCAAACATGTGAAGTTCATTAAAACGAACCTGCATTGAATAGCAGCGAAGATAAAAGGTGTGCAATGACGAAAATGAAAGAAACAAACCTGATTTTCAGCTGACTGTAATTTGATAATGGCCGAGGCGCGTAATCCACTGAAAGTCAAAAGGCTGAAGCACTTCACTGTGTGAGTGTGTCGGAGCGTACCTCCAAAACACTTACAGGGGCTAATGTAATGAAATTCACAATAACTACCGCAGTATGTAAACAGGAGGTAAAATCAATCGAGGGTGGATCAAATTACTCGAAAACGCAGAATTCCTTTCATTTACAAACGGACTCTGGAGCAACAGGGGTAGTGGCGTATTCTGTTGCGAGGGTGAAATACACAGCCCGAAACCGGAGAAATGAACATTTAACGAGGGAAGTATCCGATATCAGACCAGACGAGCTGAGATTTTGAGTAAGAAAATGGAAGTAACACTAAAATCACGCAAATTTACACGATCTAATAAGTAGTACAAAATGTTACACGCAGGCCACGAAACACGGATACGGACATCGCCAAAGCCCGTTTCAACGTCAACTGATTGAAGCGCTACAGCGTTGCATGAGCGAAACACACACTGCAATAACTTGCATTGGTTACGAGGCAACGCCTAGAGAGGTCCACTACACGCCACTCACGCCCACACGGAAGTCTCGATTATCCGCGGTCTTATCCGCTATTTTGATTTATCCACGATTTCGATTACCTATCGTTTCATGGCTTCAAGTTTAGGCTGAAATTGTGGTTAAAAAAAGCCGAAATTGATACGTTGTAAAATAAATTTTTTTTTGTTGGTCTGTGTAGGCTGTAAGGATGACGCTTAAAAATTTCGATTGTTGATTTTTTTTCTCTGTATTTTCAGGCTACCATATTTTCTATTTTAATTTTTACCATTTTTTAAAAAAAAATCAAACTTTCTAAAATGTGAATTTTTTTAAATTATCTAAATTTCTTTTACATCTTTCATTTTTCTTATTGCTGCTTAAATTAATTATTATCTATATTCGTTTTTTTATCGTTTATTTCTGTTAAAAATTGTGTAGGTAGTTGAGTCTGTGATTATAGTTATGTTATTTTGTTTGTTTTGTTTTTTCTTGGTTGCACCACCCACCACAAGTCTTACTTAAAGGGTGGTGGGATGAATTTATTTTTTGTAATCTTTGTTAAAGTTGGCTGTGAAATTTGTACCTACCTACTTGAAGTGCAATAAACGTATTTAAATTTGAATTTGTTCTCAGAGATAGCAATTTTTCTCCTTATGTGCTCATTGATTTTTTCCCCTTGTTTTTCCCCCCGCTTGAAATGAGTTAAAAGGATGTGAGATCAGAGATCAGCGAAATTGTTTACATCCTGAATGCATACTTCCTTGGTGAGAGACTGTTTTTCTCAGTTTCTCGACCCCAGAAAAGTTAATTGCCAAAGAATGTTGTCAAATAATAATTGAGGCAACTTTTATATATTCCCTTAATAATTAAAATTACATCGTCCATAATTTATTTTGAGGAGTAAAGTTAGACAGTTTTCTGACCCTTAAACATATTCCACTTACATCCCATAAGTTACCTACACCAATGGTGAAACTAGAAAAAAATGTGAGAATTACCTCAGCGAGGATTTTAATGGTAGTTTCTCAATTTTCATTACGGTTTTGCTTGCTCTCTTGGGTATCTTTTGAAAAAATAAAAGTTGAGCTTCAATGATATTTACAAAACATTTAATATATTTTAATTTTTGGGTACATGAAACAAAATTAAAATTGAAAAATAATACAACTGTTTGGCCCAGTCATCTACAGTACGTGCAATCTTTCTGTTTTGATTATTGCCTAATTAGTAAACGGATCGCCTTTTACCTTTTTAACTCTTGAAACAGTTGGTGTACAAAACAAGTATCATGCATTTTTTCATTTCATTCTAACAACATAATAACCTACCTATACCACAGTGGTTTTTTTCGCCATTAAACTATTGAGAGATCAGTTTTTAAGTATTGATACCTACCCTGTGCTACTTTAGATCCTATCACAGTAGATTCATCAGGCAAGAGGGGCCTCTCAATACCTACATTGAGATTGGGATGGAGGTCCACAATAAGCGCTAAGTTTAAATTTCCAGCAATAAGCTTAAAATTTATCACTCATGCATCAATTCCTAAACCATACCTAGATACGCAAAAAATATCTAAAATTCACTACCTATCGAGGAAAAAGGGTTCGCAGATGAGTAGAATTTTTTGAATGGCTCTACAAATGGGTATATCCAATAATTATTCATTATAAATTTATAAACCTTCTTTCAGGGGATAGCATTGCAGTGAGCTAGAGAAGATTGCAGGAGGAGAGACCTAGATATAACTGATAGCCACCCTGGAGCTAAAATGAAATGACAACCTACATCAAAAGTGATAGGTATTTTTTGTTTTGTTTTCAATCTTATCTGTAATCTGAATATATTTAGTTCCTTCCAATGATCATTAAATTTGCAAACCAACTTTGCTCATTCAAAAATTTGAGCGCTTATTCTGTCTTTTGATAATCCATCCTTTCACTATCTCTTAAAATGCTTTTGTACCTTCAAACATGTTGCTATTCCAGGGAAACAACCTCTTCAGTTCTCCAAAATCTGGGCCTAAGAGGAAGGCACTTACAATGAAAGGGCTTCTTAGAGAATTATAATACTAATAGGAAGGTTTTTTCCTCTCAAATGTTCCACTAATAAATTCTGAGACAGGGGCTTTTCGGAAAATCCTCCTTAATTTTTTTATATGATAAGATTCTAACTTCCTATACTTACTATGTAAAGCCGTATTTAAATTATGTGCATTCTTCCTGTAACTGTAAATGCTTCTTTGAGGTATTTTCTTAGTCCTTTCTACTATTGTAAGAAATTATTACAAATAAAGTAGTAATTCGAAGAAACAAAACATTTGAGAACAAATTAATAACAGAATTAATTTAATCATATCTCAATAGGGCTCTTCATGATAGATATTTTGAAGCAGCTCTGAGCTTAGTAAAAAACTCTGATTCTTTTAACTTGAACTTTTTTCATTAAGTTTCATTTTAGAATTTAAGTTAGAAGGGGCTCAGGAAGAGGGAAAATAACTTGAAAAGTTGCTTTAAAAGCATGAAGAAGAATGACAATGGTTTACTTGCACTAATTGCTACAGTTAGCTGTGATCATTTTACGTATCGAAACAGCAAAACTGCGTATCTCATTTGTAGTACCTCAAAATCTCCTCTTCCATTTTAATTTATGAAAGAAAAACAATCACATACGTTGAGTTGAAATTTTCACAGAATATTCTTCACACAGAGGAAAAAATCAGGGAGGTTTTCAAGAAATGACATTAGGTGTTTTTCCATTTCAAAAATACACCATGACCAGAAATCTGCTACATCAAGCTAAGCATTTCTGCAGTTTCACTATCACCCATCAACAGGTTCACAATGGAAAACATCAAAAATTGATGCAGTAATGGAAAAACCCTTTCCTTTTCCCTTATGCAATTTGCAGCGATAACACAAACAGACATCCTAAACAGATAAATGGTGCAAAACAGCAAAAATTCTACTATGAAATGATTATTTAACAAAAGTGGAACATTAAGATTAACAGCCAAAAACAAATTTTCCTCCTGAAGATAAAGGAGGAAGAAAAAACGAAGCGGATCTTTTAAGTACGGCTGAAATGGAATGATTAAAGAAGAGTGGTTCTTTTCACATTTTTTTTTTTGCCTATTTCCAGTTGCTGTTGTAATTGTGACAATGATATAACAGGCACAATAATAACTTCAGTATTCGCAGTAAATTCTGAGAAAACAAGTACCTAATTAGTCAAAAGAGACCTCATTCAAACCTTGGAAAACTTTCCTCCACAGTCATTAATTTGCTACTAATTTGAGTAACTTTTATCTGATGAGAGCCACAATTGATAAAAATAATTAAGGAAGATTAGGTACAAACAACAAACTTCAGGGTTAAACTTGAGAATGGGAGACCTACCCCTAGGTTTTCTAGAGGTTTTTTCGGTAATGAAAATAATTAAAGTTTACGTCAGGTTTGATTAGCAAGATAATAAATCACAAAGTTTTACATTAATGAGTTGTGAAAAAAAGGTGTGATCAGTCTTCTGCTCGATAAAATAAAAGGCAAATTTCTAAAAAAGAGATCACCAAACAGAGAGATTTCTCATTCTTTAACATAATGAGTCAACTTCCTGCACAGCAAATGGTCGCAGAAAAGGTTGCAGAGAAGTTGGTGCAACTTTGTGCTCAGGGCCGTGGCTAGAGGTAATCTTATGCCAACATTTGTGTAACGTTTGGCCATTTGCCAGTCGGGTTGGTTAAAGAGTTAATCCCTTAAAAATGATAACGTTGATAATGTCTAGATGACAATGCAATAAAAATCAAATCAGTACATGAAGAGTGGGGTAGATCAATAGCAGAGTTCCCGCTGACTTTCATTCTTCCAGTCCAACCCTGAGTGAAAGATTGGCTCTTATAAGATAAGTCAATAACACTGTGCTTCCAATCTTATTTTGATTGGTTGCAAAACTTTGCACTATTAAGGAGAAATAAAAAAATATACTTAAGAAAATCAAACAAATTACCTAAGCCTTAATCTAATGACATCAAAGAGATGTGAAGCGCATGGCAGACAAATGCGAATGGAACTGTTATTCAGTCGAATTGAACTGTTCATTCAAAATCTGCTATAAGGACCATCATGTAGACGCCAACAAGCAGAGCAGCAATTTCTTTGACCGACTGACCAAATCTAGTATCAACAAGTAATTCTGGAATCACAGACACAGTGGCAATGTAGATGAACCCTCCTGCGGTGAAAGGAAGAATCCAGGATGGGGCTGCAGTTGCTGAAACGAAACAAAGTTCATTTGATTTGAAAAAATCAACATTGTCAACAAAGAACCGGCGGTACAATTCTAGAGCTCACTCACAATATTGGGTCTAAATGAATTGAAACGATGGTTTTTCAAGTTTTGTGGTACAGACCTTGAAGAGATTCAGTAAACAAAAAATTCAATAATCAGGGTGTCTACTAGCTAGAAAAAACCAAAATGGGGGTATTTGGGGACTTTTTTCATGAAAATTTGGGATATTTTTACCAAAATAGACGAGAGAAAAGCCACAAGAGAAAGCGACATAAAATGAGATATAGATAATTGAAGGGTTGTGTTACTCATCAAGTAACTCTTTCACATAATTACAATACTGACTCACCTCAGCTGGAAAGAATTGTAAGGGACCAATGATAGAGTCAAACATCTGCTTCATGCCTCGCATGCAACCATAGCACCACGAAAATTTGAAATTTTTGGCGGACGATTCTTGTTAGTTTTTGGAGACCTGAACATGATAATCAGGGACACCTTTCCAGAATCGGGGACTTTGGGGACCAGTAGACACCCTGATAATAATCTACCAGTATAGTACAATTTTAAAATCCAGAATACCTATGTTACTTTCTAACATTTTTAAAGCTCATCTGAAAGCAGAATGATCAAATCTTAATGAAATATTAAAGTAAGTAGGAATCTGTTTCCGATCTTTCCTCTACAAATAAGTGGTCATGTGGGTATGAACAGGGTGGTGAAGGTTGACAAAATGAGAATGAATAGGGAGCAAAAAAAGGGGAAAAGGATAGAAAAGAAGACAGAAGACAGAGCAACGGTGCACACTTACATCACAGTTACTACTACAGTGGCGTACTGAGAAAACAGTCTAAACACAGGATACAAAAGCTTGGGTCGAAAGGAGGTTCATTCCAAGTACTTCTTAGTGAAAGAAGAGGAACACAGCTAGAAAGTATTGTTCACATTATGTCTTTAGTCCAGGGCCTTTGAGTTGTCCGTTTGTTTTCAAGAACGCACTCCTGCACTCTTACAATCTTGGTATACTGCACTTATTTGGCAAAAAAGCAGAGATTTGACGCATATCTGGCAGAAAAAATTATAGTATTCGACAGTGACCCATCTATTGGGGTAAGCCAATAAAATCTGTGGTCTACAGAAGGACAATAGTAGAGTCCTTATCCACCACTATGACCCTGCCTTGATCTTCGGACTAATACTGCCCTCCTGTAATCGTTACTACTTGATTTTGACAAAATAATGAAGTGAAGTGTGCCATGTAAGTGCAGGAGTGAAAACCTATCTCTCTGGAGTCAAATCTGACAGTTCTCATATAACACTACCACCACTTCAGTTAAGTATGCATGATGTTTTTTGGTTCTTCCATTTCCTAGGTATCATATATTTCAGTACAGATGTTTTACAAAGTAACTGAAGCTTTGTATCTTTATCTTGAAAATCCATTTTTAAATCACATTTCAACACTATGTATTAAGATTCAAAATAAGAGAAATCAACCTAACATTGGTGAATTTTATATTGAAGATTGATAAATGTGATAATCTTACCATAACTATCTGCAAATAGAGACACTAGAGTACCACTGAACGCACCTACTGCTGTAACTAGCTGGAGCATCATGGCCTGAAACCAAAACTTGAATTAATTTCATGATTCGATTATAAGATACCAAAAAATATTTTAAAGCAAACTAAGAACATAAGTTAGGAGAAACCTGTCGCAAATTTTTTTTATAAAAATCCCCGCAAAATTCACCCTGTAGCACAGATTTCTTAAAAAGAGAAATTCTTTTGGGTCAAAGCTTGTCTTGCTTACTTGAAAATGTTAAAAATGCAGTGTATTCCTGGGAGTCAAACTAGCCGTCAATTCAAAAACGAAGCAAGCTATTGTAATCGTCTTTGACTCATTTGAAAGAAAGCGTAAAATCAATTAAGACCAAGCTAAACTTCAAACAAAAAGTGGCCAAGTTATGGTGGTTTGAAGATAGGGTGTACGTACAACAATCATTGATAGCTTATTTAACAATTAGTTTTTCCGAATAGGCAATAATATTTTTTCAAGGTATTGAAATACATTTATATTCTCTTCTTCTTGTCCTCATTTTTAAGTAGAGAGAGAAAAAATATAAATTCCAAAACTTGATTTAAATTATTTTCTTCTCAAAATTGAGGTAACAGAGAGGTTCACAAATTATTGAAACTTACATGGACTTAACCAGAATCAGCCTGACTACAAGAAGCATTGCCTGATTTCTTTCCATGTTTTATTTCTTTATTAGAAAATAAGTTATCATTCCAACTTGAAATTTTTGAAATATGTTCTCCATAAGCCGGAGGAAATGTATAGAAACTTTCAAGGCATATGTTGTTTGATTTTCTATCAAATAACATAAAACTTAAGAAGATTGTAGGGGTTGCGGGGGGGTGAAAACAGCCAAACAGCACGACTTCAGCAATGACCAGCACCTTGCTCCACCCGGGTCCAAAACGCAACTCACTCAGAAAGCTTCCCCGGGGTCGTGGCCGCACTCTAACAATAAGCCGGAAAACTCGACGATTGATCGGTCAGCAATTTTGGCCGAACAATCGTCACTCTTTCGGACTGAAGACGACCACGAACGGGCATTCTTTCCGCTGAATTCGATGTAAGGACAAGCCACATCATGCAATCCTCAGCATTTGCACAGGTGTAATGCCCGCGCGACCCACTTTCAGCCTGTCTCTGGCTTGCCGTTCGTCGCCCGAGCATACCACCCACGACGCAGCGGAGCTTCCCACCGAGGTTGGTTGGAGGGTGTTTGATGGGGTTTCCAGAATCTTTCGCTGAAAGATCCTGGAAACCACCACAAGATATTAGGCAACGTCAAATGTAGTGAAGCTGATTCCGATTAAAGTGGCCCACTTAAAGTAACTACAATGAGCCTACTTTCAACTAATGATGGAAAAGCTCAAATAAAAATTAAGTGATAAAATACCTTTTTCTTACTACATCCTGATTGTATCAGGATTGCAAAGTCTCCGATCTCATGGGGAATTTCATGAAATAAAATTGTAACAGTGGTCACGATGCCAACATTTTGACCTGCCAGATAAGAGGCACCAATTGCCAGACCATCAGTAAAATTGTGCGTGAAATCGGCAGCTAAGTTTAGGTACCCAGCTACTTTAATATCACCTGCAATTGAAATTGAATAAAATAATTAGTCGATGGTAATTTATGAAATTAATAAAAATAATTTATTGCATTAATGGGTGTGTGGTGGTTGCACAAGCCACTGGTAACCTTGTCAAAATTAAATACAACTTTTTGACAGAAAAAACTTCAGCTGACGATCAACCATCATGAAATCAACCATCCTAAATTTTAAAAGCTTCCTAAGTAAATATTTCATTCCTTGTGAGCTATTGTCATGAATAAAGAGAAAAATAAATTAAGTCTCTTTTGATGAAAGTTGAAATTTACTCATCGCCAGAATTTCAATAGAGAATTGGTGGCTTAGCGTAACACATGTAATATACGAACACAGAAAAATAGACCACCTGTTCCTTCAAGAGCTTTCTCTTGTTGCAAAAAATCAAACACTTGGAAACTCCTCTCTTTCATGAAACTGATCAGCTTTAGATGGTTCAGTCTTCCCTATTAACAGGGTTTTGAATCGTTAATTCTTTAATAAAAATCTGCCATGCGAATACCCAATAAGTAAGCTCACTGAGAATACTTACCAGCCTTGTCAACAGCATCTTTGGAGGGCTCTTCTTCTTCTTCAGATGATTCATCTGATTTCTTGGATTTCTTCGAAGGTTTGGTTTTGGTTGACTGTTTCTTAGGCTTGTCAGGACTATGGCTATGACCATGGCCATTCATAATTCTGACTAATTTCTCCACGGATAAAAATGCTAGAATCCCCCACAGCACCCAAAGCCCAACGCTCATGTTGTCGTGAGAATGATCTCCTTCACCATGAGAGTGACCGTGTGAATGTGAGTGGGAATGTCCATGACCATCAGGGGTGTGCGCTACCAGGGCGTGAGGAATCAAGTGAAGAAACGCATCACCCAACAGTCCACCTGATGCAAAACTCAACAGAATTTTCAAGAGTGGCTCGTGATCTTTACTGTTTTCGATAGGCACGAAGAAGAGAATTAAAAATGGAGCTAAACTGATAAACAAAGTTGATGCAAGGGCTTCAAACCACAGCTTGTAACTTTTTTCCACAGACTTGGCAGGTTGTGATGGCTGTTCAGGAGGCTTGATGTTGGCTTGCTGAGAATATTTAAATGAAGGTGGTTCTTCATGAGAGTGGCCGTGGGAATGAGAGTGAGAATGACTGGTAACCACAGGGATGAAGTCGAAGAAAATGATAACAACGAACAATCCCAGGGCAAGCCTTGCCAGTAGCCGTTTGGTAATATACTGACTTAGCATGATGGTATCTTGCTGATACACTGATGCATGCGGGAATATATTACCACTAAGAGTGGAGCACTTTCAATTCTACACAGTAAAACCCATTACTAATATACTTTCAATAAAACTTTGAGCAGGGCAGCGGGCACAAGACAAGACAACACGACACACGGAAAAGTATAGATAAGGTTATGTTGACACTTGACACAACGCACTTAACCAGGGACAGGGACGAGTTCTATAGGACGCCGTTCTGTTGTGAGCGGGTGATTGCAGCGCATTCTCGCGTAGGATCCTAGTCAACTCAGAGGATCCTTCCCCCCGAACCTCGACTCATCCATCGCCCGCTCCAAAAGTGAGGTTAAGCCGGAGATTGAAAAATAACACATGAGGCGGCTGAATTCTTGAAAAATAAGTATATTTTTGGCGTTTTTCGACCCCTTTCGACNNCGCAACTCACTGCTGTTATCAGTTGTTGGACTTCATTAAAATCCGTAGGATCGCGTATAACTGCGAAAAATCGAATTTTTCATCGAACTAATACATGCGACGGGCCCTTCCTAGTCGAAAGGGGTCGAAAAACGCCAAAAATATACTTATTTTTCAAGAATTTAGCCGCCTTATGTGTTATTTTTCAATCTCCGGCTTAACCTCACTTTTGGAGCGGGCGATGGATGAGTCGAGGTTCGGGGGGAAGGATCCTCTGAGTTGACTAGGATCCTACGCGAGAATGCGCTGCAATCACCCGCTCACAACAGAACGGCGTCCTATAGAACTCGTCCCTGACTTAACTTACCTACAAAGTTGATGTCCAATGTTTTCGGAACAGATAGTATTCTAAAAGATCCGGAACCATCATAAAACAGCACAATTCGTTCCGGGGTCACTTTTTACCATCAATTTACCCATTTGGATTCCTCTATTATTACGAATCACTGAAATTACCTTTTTGGAGCAAAATGGTGGGTAGGAAATTTTAATTGCCATTAGAAATGCCAAAAGGAAGATTAGACAAGAAATTAGCGAGTACAAGGACCGTCTTAAAAATGCTAAAGAAACTATCACTAAATTCAAGAATGAAATTGGTAAGCTTTAAAGTGGTAAACCAGCTGAGGCAACTGTAAATAATTAATTATAAAAAATTTCCTGTAAATAAAGTTCCTACATTTATATAAACTGAGCTTCCTTAGGATTCTTTTGTGTTAATCTTTTCCCCTTGATCATCATAAAGAACAAGGCCTTATTTAAATTCTCTCTGGTATTACTGCATTGAAGTGAAATTGAGGGGCTTGGAGGTCAAGGCGCATTAGTGCAATTTTTAAAAGTTGAGATATTAACAATTTCAAGTGAAACTGGTCTTGATGCATATTTTGTGAAAAATTCGCTCCCAAATTCCTATTTTTAAACATCAAAAAGTCAGTTTGAACTTTCTTTCTGCCTTGAGGATCCATGAAATTTCGAAACTTCTAACAAGTACATCTTGAAATAGCAAAAACTGCACTAATGTGTCTTGCACTCCAAGCCCCTCATTTGTCATCATCAAAAATGAGTTGATCCCAGGTGGTCAATGGAAACCTCTTGAACTACTTTCTTCGAAACGAGCAGAATTATATTTTGTAATGGACCAGTAAACAAGGCAAAAATTGAAGCGTTCTGATACATGGCTTTTAACCAAAACACGTTAAACACAACTTGCACAAAGGGATTTACTGAAATCAACTCCAAACTAAGATAACAACGTTTTTTTAGTTTACATTGGTTACGAGAATTTTGAATTCCCTGCTCACAAGAAAAACAATGGTCTACTTGAATCAAATCACACCTACCACAACAGTTTCGGCAGGCTTCTTACTCAAGCCATGTTCCTTCCTGCCTTGTATTGTTCTAGGTGTTATCTACGTGCAACAGCTGAGCCGAAGATCCAAAATCAAGGTTGCCATCTTTTCATACCGCAGAGACTGTTACAGTAACCCTTACTGCGCAATTTGTCTGAACTAGACTTTAATTTTTCCATGAGCGCAAGGTTTGACTTAACGCATCAAAAAATGTTAAACAGATCAATTAGAGTTAGTTTCATCAATTTCTGTTGCGTGAATCAGGTTCTAGGTAAAATTTTTGTTACGACATGTATCAGAATGTGTTAATTTGTACCTTCTAAACTGGTCCATTAGTGGACTTGCGGCAAAATATGGATTTACTGATGGTCAACTTAGCATGGCAGCATACCACTGTGACCGCCCCCTCTTGATCCGCCAATGCTTCAAGTTTTGAAAAGCTCAAAAAGTTAAAAATTAAAACTATTGTCAATTTTCAGTTCAATATAGGTTGATTGAAGCTAACCGGTTTAAAGTTACCCAATCGGGTTAAGTGTGATCAAAATCAACACAATTTCAATTGCATTTTCCTCAATAAATAGTACCTTGAAGAGCCACACCTCTACAAAATGCTCTTCAATTTTTACTCAACTCCTCCCATCCAAAAAAAAAAAAAAAAAAAAAATCGAATTTGGGAAACACAAATTAAATAAAATTGCATAATTTTTTGATATATAATTTAACATTAACAATATTATATGATACCTCAATAATAAAATTTAACAAATCAAAAATACATCATCAACATCTCATAGAATGATCCACCAAGGACAGTGATAGGTGACATTGCTATGAAATGAACTTGGGGAAAATAATTATGTGTTGTCATCGTGGCTTGGAGCATAGAGAGATTTTTTTCAATGAACATAAGAATTACATACTAATACTGCAGCACAAGAGTTGTTGAAAAAATATAATTAATCTCGTTCATAACTAGTCATTTTAGATCAAGTGAAATCAGCCGCTCATAAGCATTATGGTAAATAGGTTTAGCATCTTACGACTTTAGGTTCCAAACTATTGAAATTTTTTCTTTGATCTTTTGTTTGAGATTAACTGCTAAGGCTTGTGGAGAAAAGCTACTGATTTTTAAGGGAACCAGGGGCTGGACAAAACAGCAAAGAAAAAAAAACAACATCTCTGAACTTTCCTGCGTTTAGTATTCGGTCTGGCCTATTTGACTGGCTTAGAGGTGACCAATTTCAAATAAGATGCAGTTTACAGCGATAAAAAATTTAAGCACAGCTGATTGGCATGGTGCAAAAAGATGAATGCTGTATTAGATTTTTGTAGTTGTTCCCAACACACCCTGTCAATTGTAAAGTTGAGTTGAGGCTAATAAGAATGAAAATATTACAACTATTAAAACAGCAACTCTTGAAGAAGTCTCTATCAGTTGAAAGATGCTACTACAGATTTTCAAATTAACCTACTTTAGAGAACTTTCTTATGGAAAAAACTAAAATAGAATTTAGACAAAATGTACTCGAAATGGGGAATGGTAAATTGTTTGAGTTCCAACCAATTCATACACTAACAAAATTGTTTATGCATGTGCTTAAATTAAGCATTCATTGGAGAGACATTTACAATGTTTTCAGAGGCTTTAATTACACCCTCATGCCACTGTTTAATTACAGCTAAAGCGAATTTTAGCTCATGCTTCATGGATGACTTTACTTTAAGACAACAAATCTGGAAAATTTACGTTCAATAAATGAGTTGAGAAAGTGCCACCATCATACTTTTATAATACATGACTAGTTGCCAAGATATCAGCACGAGTCCCTTTGGAGGAAAAATCATTCTCAAGAAATAATTAAAAGGGCACCAGAATTGATTGACACCAAATAACAGCAGCATTTGTTCCTCTCCACTAATGGGAGCCAACTTCTTCCGGAAAATCTTATGATATTTTACCTAAAAATAAGAAGAGAAGAGAAATAGTTAGAACTCATTCAACAGAAATTGCTTCAAAAGCAAAAAATTAGGATACCTGTAGCAACCCTGCATGGGAAACCAAAGGTATTCTGACCTGGCTAAATTTTAATTATTATTCAATATTATATTCTTTGCGACTTCCTAAGCGCAATGCATTTTTGAACTTAAAATTTCAATATGCCAAGGTCGAGACAAGCAGGGCTGAAAAAATAATTTTTTGGCCTTTTCACAAGTGTTTTCCAATGGAGCTGAGAAATTCCTGGTTTAAGTGTAAAGAGGATACGCCTCACTCTGTTATCATTCGGAAAATTTGACTATTTTGTCTATCTTATCTTCCTGATCAGCAAGGAAACAAAAGCTCTCCTTGAAGACCAGTCGGATGTTTCATCATCATTAATATAAACTTCGAAGGATTCAGACTTTCAGCGATTCTACCTTTTTCTATTTCACTCGAGGGGAAGTGTCCCCTCTCCCCGCCTCTCTTCCCCACCCGGTGACTGACGCTGCGCTGTGCTGAACGGTTCAGCCTGAACCTTTCCCCTACGTCTGACCGTTCCCCACTCCTCAGTCAATCGAACCATGCCTCCGCTTATGCATTGTCGCTCGCCCACCCAGGTACATACCAGGGTACCTAGCGGCCAGCAGTCAGTTGATGATAAATCTCGCTCATGCTCCCCTCAATTATTTTCCGAATAATTAGAATTTCTTCGATAATAATTTTCTCTATTAATTTGAATGTACATTTTCTTTGCTTTACCGTGTTTTCCTTGGTTCTCTGCTGTGTTTTTCTTAAATCTGTTTTTATTTTATCTTGCTAATGCTCACACGCAGCTGAGCTCAGATTACCCTAGTGAAGTCGTTTTCTTTGTTATTTTTCTTTATTTTTTTCTCTGTTATACTGTGCTTCTCTTGAATCTCTTCTGCGTTTCTCTGTCTTTTCTATTCCTTTCTGTTCTAATATTTCTTTTCCTATTCTTTGTTCTCTGAGGATATTTTCAATAAAATAAGCATGAATCCAGCTTCAATTGATGACGTATTGCAGGACGTGTTGTCTGGCGACACAATTAATTTGTTTTTTGACATAGTGCGTCATAAGACAAACTCCCGACCTGTCAATGTAAATTTAATGGGTTTGTGGGATTTCATAGGCCTAGCTCAATTGAATAACGGCAAATTTATTCAAATTTTGAGTAGCAGGCCCGCCGGGAATATAAGTGAAATTTCCCACTGGGTAACTTTTTATTATTTTAACAACACTGTAAAAAGGGGAAATTTATATTAAAACTTATCATTTAAGGAAGCGCAACTAAAATTTCAGTAATTTTTTTCCGAAAAGTAAAAAAAAAAAGTGGCTAAAGATGGTTCACTTTCTCGTGGCGTTGGCTGTTTCTGCTAAGTGGGAACCGTTCATTTCAAGATACAGTCTATCTCTTGCCCCGTCATTATTATTCTACAAGTTAATTGTGGCGTGAAAAGTTAATAATGTTTTCTATGAAATCTTCATAATAAAGTGATAAAAAATTCGCAACCACTACAAAATCGGCTCGCGAAGCGAGCCGAATGTCACTCGCGTACCCATCACGGTGCTGTGGGGTTGTGTGGTTGTAACACGGTAGTATTTTTTGCCTCCATTCTTAGCAGATGATAACTTCGGAATAACCTGTTGAACATTTTACAAAGCAAGTTTGTTGATCTACATCATAATTCAACAGATTATTCACCGATTTCATGAATCATCATTAGACAAAAAGTAATTACTTTTTTCACTGATTCCTAAAATGACTTTTTCTCTTTGGGAGGATGGAGAGTGCAACATCTCTAAAAATGTTTTCTCTGGCTTAGCCCTAGCTTTACTGACCGTTGTTACACACATGGGTTACCAAACCGGACTTTTTTGAACCCACATTTAAAATACATAAATTTTAAAGGCTGTACTACAATTGTTAATTTTTTCCGAGGTGCTTCACCACAGGGATACACTTTTCCCCACCCGTAGTTCTCCTGCAAGATGTGGTGTATGCAACCACTCAGGAGAAAGATCAGTAAACACACCCACTCACTTGTAGTTACCAGATACCTTAAATCTTGAACGGATGCCTGCAATTTTTCGTGGAGAAACTGAACATCTTCTACAATGTCTTCATCATCGAATTTGTGTTACTCCAAAATACTCAGCTGCTTTAATACTTTTCTCTGTACTGTTGCGATAATGTTCCTTTGCAATGTTCGGCTCTTCTGGTTTTTTGATTATGTTCTAAAAAGCGAACAAAGCAAGAAAAAAAAAAAGAAATTATTAATCATCTCTGGACAGGAAAACACACCTTCAAGTTGTTTAGGCTATATTGTTTGTTCTTCAAAAAACAACAAGTTGACACTCTGGGTTTTTGACAATTTTTTTATTGGGGGAAGGAGGGGGGGGGGGTTATTCATGTTTCACCAAGTTGAGGGGTGTCTCAAAAGTCATGCTACCAACCTCCGCAAATAAAGCCAGCAAATGTGGATTATGGAAGCTTGAAAATCACTTCATTGGCTTTAAAATGCTACTTGGTTGAGCTCTTTTGGTCAGAAACTCACTGATTTATGGCAATTTTTAGGTAACATGTTCGATTTAGCGGGGGTTGACCGTATGTAGAAATTTTCTGTTACTTGCAACATCTGGAGGTAGAGTTTCCCAGTTTGTTGATTATACTTTCCTAGATACCTTGTAAGAAAAAATACGAGAGTCAATCAAAACACTGCATGAGACTGACTGATCATTTGCAATAACATACTAATGTAAAAATTCCCTGACTTTAAATGCAATGCAAACTGCCTGGGCTGAACACTCCCCCATCAGTTTTGTACTGATCCTCATTAGAGCTCAAAATTGTTGGCTCTGATTGAAAATGTTTGAACTTTTTGGCTCCCCCCCCCCTCCCTCCATATAGTGTGGGCCCAGCACTATTTTACCACATTGTTACACAGTTTGAGCCTCGGTTTTAGGTTTTTTCCTTCTTTTTTTCTTGTTCTGGAAGGAGATTGTCACAATTTAAGGGCCGAGCTAATAAACTGCTGTTTCACAGAATATAATCAAAATTAGGAACTATTGATATGTTTTCCAGCAGTAAATTTTACCCTCTTTACAATGAGCGTAACAGTTTTTTTCTCAGATAATCGAGGCTGGAGATTTACAGTAAAGTTTCTCCTAAAATCAGCAAAAATGCGCCTTCTTTAAGCTAATTTTTGAAGAAAATATTAATTTTATGACAAAAAATGTAAGCTAGAGAAAACAGGGGAGAGTGATTTTGGTAGGAAGTTTCATGTGCTTTCTGCTGGTTTTTTGTTTTTTTCGTGGGATGAGCCGTTGAGGAGATATTTGCAAATATCTAATCGTGGGTTTTCTCAAATTTGAAAAATTCAAAATGGCAGCGTCCTGAGCACCATAAGTTTCCTGCAGTTTTCCTGAAGTTTCTATGGGCATTTTCAGACTACTGTAGCACCTAGGAAACGAAAAAAATTGGTTTGGTTCGAAGGAAAAACCAGAACCGGAAATTTGTTGTGTTGTGTAATCAAAGTAAACTATGAAGAGAATGATGAACTGAAATTCAAATTCATTATTAGGATTTATTAAGTAATTCCAATTTTTGAGAAAATCAAAGCACAGAAAGGACACTCTTCAGTTGCAGTGTTTCAGAATCTTCACCAATTTTTCATCAATTATAATCAGGCAAATGTATGTAATTTGCAGAAACTCCTACTGAATATTTTTCATGATTTTATAATTCTCTAGATGAATTTTTTTTAGAAGATTCACACAGTAGTTTCCTCTCTGAAAGCATGAAACTTCTCTCAGGGCAATAGTTCAAAAAAGTAATTATCATTTGGCAAGCGAGAATTTATCATTGTATAATCAATTGAATTCTAACCCTATGGCATAAATCCTAGAAAAAATGAAATTTTCCCAGGAATATTGGCAAAAATAAGATGGAAGTTCAATAGTCTGAAAAACTGAATGAATATCAAATAGACTAAGACCTCTGACAAGTCCACAGCCAAGACCGTTTTCTTGCTAGATGCGCCAGATAATTTCAGGCACAGTGACCGGCATATTGCATGTACTATAACAATTTTTATTGCTTCAAATTGTACCAAATCATACTACATAAATAAAAGATCATACAGTTGTGCAATAAAGGCACCATTACCAGTTTTTGCACGGAACTAAAAAGCAGAGGGAAGTAATTTTAGTTGATTAAGGAAATATTTTTATCAAAATGTTTAACATTAAAGACTAAGATAATTAATTTAATCGTTTTATCAGTGTAATTGATATACTTTCGTTTAGTTATTTGTCTTTAAATTATATAACTAAAGACTATACAGGTGTCAGGTGGGTAACCTAAACCAAGTTCTAGCATTGTGGCAATTAGTGGAAATTGTGGTTTGAAGCATTAAAATATGCCTTTTTTCTTGCATGTTTCTCTGGGCCGGCAAGATCAGTTACACTTCTTAGACACATAGGTAGAGAACAAGATGCAAGTTTTCACCTAAAATACACCACTTCAATTACCTACCGAATGTTGAAAACGAACGAAATTAGAATGCTCACCAGAAAATACATGAAATTAAGCAGCTTTTTCACTTCAGTAGCTAATACTTCAGCAGTCTTTTCATAGATTTCCACCCAGTTCGGCTGCTCATTGGACTTCGGTTGCGGGATGGCTTGAGAGCAACATCGCCACGTGCACAGCATGACCGTATGTTCCAAGCAATCTTCCAACAGTTCCTTCTGGAGCATTACAAATAGGTATTTTACGGGATTGGTAGATTGACAACTTTAAATTCACAACATGGTAAAGCTCTGAATTTTTAAAACGACCAAAACCAAAGTCGATTAAATTTCAATGAAAAAACCTATTGACTGCTTTCAGTGCACATAATATAAAGGCTCAAAAATGGATACATTTACATTTAAAGGTCAATCTGCAATGGATTCCTTGGATAGTTTGAAATCTTTAAATTTAAATCAAGGTTCAAATGACCTTCCATCAACAAAATACATAAATTTCAGATTTTATTCTAAAATAGATGCCTCTACCAATTTTCAAAGTGTCCGCTTTAAGTTGAAAACACTTGCATGGAACTAACTTTTCGAATACGATGTTTCTGATACTGCCATAGTTCTGTAATGATTTAAGTAAGAGTGAAAGAGTCTTCCGATTTAAGCATGTTATCGGTAGTTCTCGATATTATTCATTCCCTGCTAAAAACTTAGGATTTCCTCTCATTTTTCTCAAAATTATCTTGGAAAAGCAAGATTCTTCTGAAAATCATGGAATATCTTTCATCGTCCATTCAATTAAATGGATTAACGGTGGTCAAGCAGCAGGAATGTGAAGCTTCCCAAACTGGCATGAACGGTGGCTTCTTCAATGTGCTCTGCTATGCCAGTGATGAACCCATTTCGGTCTTCAAAGTTGGTATCAAAGATAGCTTGATAAATGACAGAGCATGGCTAAGCTTTGATACACAGTTGTTAATTATGTAACGTAAGCTCATCTAAGGCGTCAACATTGCATAAGGCATCAGTTAATGTAACCTTATCTGCCACCATTTTGAGAAGTTGACCTCCTTTGTGCAAAAAACCATCAAAGACATAAAAATGTGACTTGGCAAGCAAGCATTCTTGTACATGGAACTAAGAGAAATGAATGGTTTTGAAAACATACCCACTCTAATTACTTAAAAACTGAGAGTACACTGTAAACCGAAAATAAATATTCTTGAGTGTTGCACGATTCAATACCAGCAAAGACACAATGTCTTTGAATACCAGAGAAGGTTGACGGTGGAGAGTAGATAAAATTGTTCAAATAACTTTATGCCTTCAAGAGGTAGGACAAACTTGTCTAAAACTATCAGAAGTAATACTGCTAACTTGAGGTAGAGGTGTCATCAGCTAAGTTGGCACTTGAATATATATCGTTTGCAAGCAACTGTAATGTAGTCGTCCAACAGGAATCGAGGATTGACTAAGCTCGCAATCAGGCTGCCGTCAATCATGCATCAAAACATGATTCTGTTACAAGCACAACTGGCCCATTGAATAAAGAAAGAGAAATTAGAGGATGAAGCAGTGAATAAGCTATCGATTCGCAGAGAAGAGATGGTACCTAGGTGAGCTTCCAAATGATGAAATTGGCCTCATTATCACAGCATGACTACATGCAGACAAACTAACTCTTTCCTTCAGGGATTAAACGACTTGGAAGTGAAAGAAGGAGAGAGAGGACGTTTAGGGAATGAGGAAGTTGCTTACAATTCTTGAGGAGGAAATTTCGGCAGGAAAAACCTGGCAGTGGAGTCCAAACTGGGATAATCATTAGGTATGGCAACAGTATTCACAGTTCTTGCTATTTGCAGGGGATTAAGAAACAAACCCTATTAGACACTCTTCACTGTGCTCAGAGGTTCCTTCTTAAATCTCAGCTTCAGTCTCACACACAGGAATCGATTGTTGAAATTCTTATCAGCATGCCCAGGCGTAGGGGATCAAGGTCTTCCAGGCGCAAAGCTCACACATTCCTTATCTTGTCCTGGCATGCCAACAGAGTTTCAAGAACCGGTCTGCATTCATTGATTGACTAGATGAGAAAAGAGGAAATAAAGAGATGCCTCTTGGTCCACAGCAGTCTCCAAGACAAATCCAGCAACAGACAAAAAGACGTCTTCCGTCACAGGAGTCTGATGACAATTCTGTTATAACATCGTAAAACATGGCAACTTCACTCCGTTCTCATAGAAGAATCAGTACATAGTGTAAGCTTCCGCGATTTAGTTGAAAGAGAGGCAAATGAAAGGAATACAAGAAAAAACGATTGACTCCTACCTCTGTAAAGATCCACTCAGGACTTCGGTTTCTCGTTCTCCGCAATTCCCATGGCTTCTTCTAGATTTTCGTTGACCCTGGGGTTAAATCTTCGTCTCGAATTGATGGAATACTCCTAAATGAGAAGAGAAGATGACAGTTTTAACGGCTAGAAATTAAAGAAGTTAAAATTAATTGAGCTTGAGCGATCGGAAGACCGGCCGAGATTGCGCGGAAAAATGAGAAATGCATGGCATGGCAATTCCAATTGGGCATGGCCGCCATGTTGAATTTCAAAGACGAATATCGAATATCGTATCGAATGCGATTATTCGAGTATCGCACTATCGATTCTTTACCATAGCTTCTTACGGGGACACAGCTATAGTCGATCGTTCACGAAGCTTGGCAAGAAATCCGCCTCAACCACTGAACACCGTTCTTCTCGCACCGGCTCAAGGCGGAGAGAGGCCGCGGCTAGAATTCTTACGATCAGCGACCTTTCTCCTCAT